GTGCTGGAAGCGCCTTCCAATTTCCTGTCCCCCAGACAAGCCATAGCTCTGTCCTGCACCCCACCTTGGCTGCTTAGCACCTGCCCCTGCCCGAGCACCAGCCCCACTCCCTCCTTCATCATGGAGGCCTCTTTTCTGCCCCACCCTTGCCCCTTCCTCCGCACAGACTTACCAGCCAGACTGCTTGAAGCTGCCAGGCCACACTTCTGGTCATGTGCATGCATGTGGCATTTATTGGTGACATTACTGGCCTCATCAGCCAAAAAAGTCAATTGCTGATAATGTCAATATTCATTTAATGGTGCCAATACAATATGGACCGATGTATTGGTGCACTTCTAGCAGATGCTCCCTTCTTCCTCCTATTTCATCCCCAAAACTAACAGCTGATGAACCAGAATGGCCCAGGACACCCTGAGCAGGACACAGGCAGCTCAGGTCCTGCTGAGCAGAACTGGGGTAATTTGGTCTAGAAGGTGCAGCCCAAGGGGCTAAAACTGGTGGAGAAGCCTCAGTTTCCCTCATGAGATGACTCTCAACCCCAGATCTTCCTTTCTCCACCACTGTCCCATGTCAGCAAGCAGGCCCAGGTGTGCTGGAAGCACTGCTGTGAGAGGGTGAGGACCCTGCCCCAGACCTAATGGGGTCTGTGAGCTGCCCTGTGACACCCTCCACACCCTTGGAGACTGGATTCTGTGGAGGCAACATTGCACCTAACCTATTTGGGAAGTATGGCCCACTCACGGCTGTCAGGGACTGCCATCACCAGGAAGCCTGGTTTTCCCTGATTAAAAAAAATAAATAAAAATTCACAAATTCTCTGATAAAAACACCCAAATCTGTGATTAAAATTAAAGGCCTTCCACAGCCCACCAGGCCCTGCTCATGCCCTTCTCTCCCCTCCACAGCCTCCCCAAGCCCTGCTGGTGTCCCTCACCCCCCATCCACCGCTCCCTGTCCCTCTAGCCTTGCTGGAGGAGCCCCCAGCTGCCAGGGTTATGGGGCCAGGGATCTGGGTCCACAGCTCCCTGCCCCCAGCAGGAGGTGGTGGCTGCTGCCGCGGAGTAGTATCCCAGCTCTACCCTCTGCTTCTTGCCTGCTGTGGGCTCGGGGGGGGGGCGGGGTGTGGCTCCCCACCACTGTGCACACTCCCAGGGGAGCAGGGGGGACCCTTGCCCCCAAATCTGTCTGTGGGACAGAGGCAGGGTGGGCTGTAGGGCCAAACAGATATCTCCTAGTTGCTGTGAGCTCTGTTCTTCTCTGGCAATGCATCCCTTGTACGAGGGACACAAACCTGAGCAGCCACCCCTGCTGCTGCCACACAATCAGGGGACGTGGCAGCAAAGTAGCATGGAGTTCAGTGTCAAGAAGCTTTCCTGTGCTGCTCCACTCTTCCCTGCAGTGCTGGGCCGCACCCGCCATGCTGTGCAGGTGCTGAAGGAAGGCAGCAGGATGGGAACCAGAGCCTTTAGTGGGCAGCCCATGCCCGCCCCTGCCCCGAACACAAATGTAGGGGAGCACGTCCCCCTTGTTCCCCAGGCATACATGCCCCTCCCCCCAACCCCTTGTATGAGCCTCCCATGGCCCTGTCCCACTTCTCACTGGGTCCCTGCAGCCATGCATTGTGGCCCCAGGTCCCAAGCACTGCCCAGATTGGCAGCAACCCCAGTCCTGCCCAACCCCCTCCCTCTGGGGGTCTCAGTCCCCCCCTCACCCTCTTACCTGTGGGAGATGCTCTCCAGGCTACCTGGCACCTGTGTCCATATAGATACACATGGTGCCTCCTGCCTGACAGCCCTCCTCCTGCTCCCCACAGCCCTTGGCAGGATGGACCTCTGCCGGGCGGTAGAGACCTCTTTGCAAAACTTCAAAATCCATGGGTTTCTCAGCTCATATGAGAAATACACATTTCCCTTTGGTAATGGGGGGAAATCCACGTTTTACTCCATTTTCCTGTGGGAAATGGAAAAACCAGATCCCAACCCAGACTGCCAATCATATAGGCCTGGTCTCCTACCCCAACTCAGACTGCCCCCTTCTCCCAAGCACTGAACTGTCTGTGAATTAGGGACTGGATCTTACACTAACACAGTCACAGCCAGGCCAATAGCCCACATGCAAACCTGAGCACTGCCTCTCCCACCCACCCCAGCCTTGCCTGAGGTCCAGAGACCCACTGACTGCCTCGAGTCCCCTGCAGTCTCTGCATGAGTGGCACCAGTCAATGCTGGGGCCAGTGGCCAGGGCTGCCATTCAAACTCCCTCACAACCCGCAGGGAATGCTGACATCTCCCCTGTCTAGGGAGACACTGGTTGTGCAAACAGCTGACCCACCGCACATGGGGACGGCGCTCAAGTGCTGACCTCCCAGCACAGGGTGCCCCAGGAAGGGACATGGCCTGACTCAAGGAGCAGGAGAGCAGAGGGTCTCCAAGGCCTTGGGCTGTTTCCCCTTTAAGCCTGGTGGAATCCAAGTCTTAGTCCTGGCGCTTCTAATGCAGGAAAGAAGAGGCAGCCTCCCTCCTTCTCCCCCTCTCCCTCTTCCACACACTTCTAGTCCCTTAGAATTCAAGAAAGGGCACCTCTGGCTCCAGGGACAGCCTCGAGAGCCTAGTGCATTTGCAGGGGAGGACACTGAGACCGAGTAGATGCCTGATGTTACTGCAGGAAGGAGCATGTAGGGCCTGGCAGCCTGGGTGGAAGGCACTTGCTTACACAGTCACCCCG